CTTGAGTGAGGATGACTTTGAGATGTTCTATGAGGTTTGGGAAAAGTTTGATCCAGATGCCACCCAGTTCATAGAGTTCAGTAAACTGTCTGATTTTGCAGCTTCACTGGATCCTCCTCTTCTTTTAGCAAAACCAAACAAAGTTCAGCTTATTGCAATGGATCTGCCCATGGTGAGTGGTGACAGAATTCACTGCCTTGACATCTTGTTTGCTTTTACAAAGCGTGTTTTGGGGGAAAGTGGAGAAATGGATACACTTCGAATACAAATGGAAGATCGGTTTATGGCAGCAAATCCTTCTAAAGTTTCCTATGAACCGATTACAACCACATTAAAACGAAAACAAGAGGAAGTATCTGCTGTCATTATTCAGCGAGCTTTCAGACGTTACCTTTTAAAGCAAAAACTTAAAAAAGTTTCAAGTATGTTTAACCAAGATAAAGATAAAGATGAGGATGACCTGCCTATCAAAGAAGATATGATTATAGATAAGCTAAATGAGAACTCCACTCCAGAAAAAACAGATATGACCCCTTCCACAACCTCTCCACCTTCCTATGATAGCGTAACAAAGCCAGACAAAGAGAAATATGAAAAAGACAAATCAGAAAAAGAAGACAAAGATAAAGACATCAGGGACGGTAAAAAGTGACAAAGAATTCCATTGGTGACAAATAGTTTACATCCCGAGAAAGTGACATATTTGTGTCAACAAGACTCCTGTATGAGGTCTATGCCAAACTGACAGTTTTTACTTATATAAATATATATATAAAATGATTATATATATATATATACTTAAGGTCAGTGCCTATAACAAGACAGTGACCCCTCGTCATCAAACTGTGACTCTGTAAAACAGGGTAACAACCTTGACAGGAGGTTATTGTTTTCACTACCAGCTGATGCTGCTGAAGAGGAGACAAAATGGCTACTCAGACTGTAGGGACCAGTTTAAAAAAAAAGGTGCAAACCTACAATTTCTGTGTGATTAACAAAAAACACTTGAGTACAGTAATTGTATCCACTGTCTGCATTTCAACTGCTATATTTCCATATTTTTACAAAAATTGGTGTTGGTGAATTTATCATTTTTTTTTAATTCACAGGTTGTTTCCTATTATCTGTGACTATTTTTGTAAATGGGTTTTGTGTTGGGGAAGGGGATCTGAGGACCAGGTCTTTTATCCTCTGATTCTCTCTAATGTACAGGCAGAAGTGATTTGCATGAAGGCATGCTGCACTCATTGTTCATGCATGGAAAACACATGACACCATTCGCACAAAGCAAGGGTTTTAACTATTTCCATGTTTCAGGGTGGCTCAATATTTTGAGGTGCCTACTGAAAGTATTCATCTTGTGTCTCATTCAGAAAAATCTTAATGTGCCTGTAAAGTCCCATAGAACCTACAATAATAAAACAGATATTTTATTTTTTCACAAGTCATTAAATTATAGTTGATACAAACTTCTCTGAAAAAAAATGTTGGCGATATAAACTTGATTTTTTTAAGTGTTCTTCTGTGGAGAACAAAATACTCATTTAATCTAACCTAGAAAATTGAACTGACCAAAAAAGTCAACCTTTATAAAGCTGTTTTGCTTCACCCTGCAGTATCATTTAGCCATCTTCTACTCTCAGCAAGGTTGACACTGTATGTGTCAATCAAATAATACCATCTATGTAAATAGTTACTTTACCATGTGGTGCATGTTTGAGCAAACAAATAATGACCTGAGCACAATATTTATTGCATCAAATATGTACCACGATAAGTGTAGTTTGCAAGCTTTCAACAGATAATATTATGTATTCTGTACCATTATAGATATTTTGGAGGCTATCACTGATGCATGTTTATCTTGCCTTTGCTGCTGTATTTTATTCCTTCCACTGTTCAAAAGTCTAATATGGGAAGCCATATGTCAGTGGTAAAGTGAAACAAATTGTTCAACCAGAAATCATTCCTTCATATCATCAAGCAATAGTTTGCAGCTATTAAAGAGCTTCTTGCTTTGCATTCTTAAATTTTAAGTGAATACTGTACGGTGTATAGCCAGACTGTACAGGACATGTTTCAAACTGCTTAATCTGTTGAAAATACATGGGTAGAATTTTCTAAAAAAATATAAATATTGTAAAAATATCATTTTATTTTATTTTTCAGCATTTTGTACATAAAATCAGAAATTAAAATTATCTTCAGGTTGATGTCACAGTCACCTTTCTTACTTTCTGTCCATAGCACTTTTTAATCAAAGAACTTCACAAAATAAGAGGTAAAGGAGAGAATGAGGTAGTTTTAGGTTTCTGCTTCTTTTTATTAGTACTGTATTTTTGCACACATTTTAATGTGAAATAAATTTCAAATTCAGTCCGAAATGCACTTGCTTCCAAATAGATATAACTTGTAATTGAAATGTGGTGGGAAAGATTTGTTTGAAATCCTAGCACTGCCTGCGTCAGAAGTTTCAAGGTAGTCTTTTTATTCATGGAATCATTGATCTTTACCAGTGTTTGTTTACATAGACTATTCTTATTCTTGTTGATTCATGCTGCACTAGAACTGTTCTAAATATACTATGGGATAGACAGTGTCTTTTTCACAAGAACTAAGTAGCAAACTTGTATAATTGATCACATCAGGACATTTGTGTTTCTTACACAAGCAAAAATTAAATGTTGATTCCTCCTTTAACTAAAACTATTGACTTGTGTGTTGGTGAACTGCATGCAGGAAAATGCTATTACCATAAAGAACGGTAAACCACATTACAGTTGAGCCAAAAGAATAAAGATTTCTTTTTTTATTGTATTTAATTGTTGTCTTTGTTTTTATCACTAACAAGTAATGTATGTCAAAAGGTGCTATAAATTTTAAAAGGCTACACAGATAAAATATTTGCAAACAGGAATAAGAATTTAAAGTCTTTTTGATTTAAAAAATGTGCATGGAATGAAATAAAGTACTGTATACTTATATATTCCCAAATACATTTTATATCTTTTGCAGTAGATGATGTTGTTTTAAAATTCAATGTTTCCTGAACTTGATTTTCACTTCCATTTCAAGGTGGATTTTTCAGGCTGATTAACACTATTTAAAATTACTGTACTATACGATAATATTCATGTGTAGCGTGCTTAAAATGCATTTACATTTCAGGCATTTTAAACTACTAGAAAAGTGATGTTAAGGTGTTAGTACTAGATATCAAAGCTACAAACCAAAATTAAATTTATATTTCCAGCAATATTTTGGACCCAAAGTCCAAGTATCACTTTTGTTGTTGTAGAGGAATTTTGTACATTAGATGATTCATTCATTATAGTACATTAAGACATAGGGAAGACTGAAGTCTATGGGAGCTTTGCTCTTAGATTAAATAAAGCATTGGGCCCATGTTATATTGCTATAATTTAAGGTATTGCACATTATTAAAATATGAAGATTGTATACGTATATCATTTAAACATTTATGGTATATTTATATGTAGTGCTTTTTCACCTTGAAGGATCCCAAGTGTTTAACATGCTGTATGTACATTGTACCATGGAAATGTAGCCATCTCTGCAGTGGAGGCAGAAGCTAGGTGAAAAACAGGCTTCATAAGAATTGGTAAATAGGGGGAATTTTGGCCAAGGACACAAAGGCCAAATCCCTACTCTTATTAAAAGCACTGTGAGATCTTCAACATACAAGCATAACAGACAGGTCCTCAGATTATAAATGGGTAAATTTATCTTCATTTATGTTTTCTCTATCATCTTGGGTAGCCCTCGTTATTCACACATTCAGTAGGTTCATTCCAGGGAAATGTCTTGGGGAAAAACAATTTTATATGTGTGTGTGTCATCCTTATCATATGGTATCTAATTTTATTTCCAAACTACAGCACCCATTTTTAGGGGTTGGGACAGTTATTTTGGAATAATATCTTATGTCAAAGTACATCTCCCTACTTCCTCTTCCCTCCCAAACTGGGGCTTACAAACTCCATGACAAAATATGGATTTCTATAAAACAGAGAAACTGCAATTTTTAAGGGACACGTGATATCTTGTTTATTTGCTAATACAACTAAGTTTGCTCATTCGCATTAATACAGAGTATGCTGTGAACCGCCCAGAAAGTGATGAGGCTGGCTCTGGGAGCAAAGCTGGAGTGAAACTCAAAATTGGCAATCAAATTGATGAAACTTCTTTAAAGGGGGAAATTCTCAGCAGTATGTCTCAAATGCTTCCTTAAGAGTGCAATGCTTAAAAAGTCAGATGCTGACGAAAAAAAGAAGAGCCCTGAAATATCACTTCAGATTCTTTATTCTAAATCTCATGTACATGATGAGCAGCACCACATATCTTAAAAGTCCTGCAACTATGTTTATTTAGACATATGCAGCTGCAGAATTTCAAGATAACCAGATAGGCACAAATCATGTATTTGTCTTCTGAATCAACTCTGGTCCTTGGGCAAAACTCCCAATGGTCTGTGGAAGTTTTGCCTGAATAAGGACTGCAGAATTTGTTCTTTTATATTTTCTTTTTTAAAGCGTCCAGAATTAAGGGCTTGTTTACATTGTTTAGTATGGGATTTTTCTGTACCAGTAACACTACTATGATGGAACTGCATGGTGCAAGCTCTTTGGCCGCAATCCTGCAACTAGATGCATGTCAGTAGACCTCTGCTCCCACCCCTACAGAATGAGTTGCCAGATCAGGGCCTAAGAAAGGAAGAGAATGGAGAACACTGAACCACAATAATTTAAGTACTAATTTTTTTAAGTAACAAAAGACAGATATTTTGTGTTGTGAGATATTTGTATATGAACTGAATTTAGGTTACCACCTTTGAAATGCAAAAAACCCACCCCTCCCCAGGCAAGCCCACTGCAACCCCAACCCCCAACCACAAGGCAACTCCATAAACCCTCCCCTTCAACAGCCACTTATAATATCTAGAGCGATACCACATACAGTGGTAACATTATATGATACATGTTAACATTGCAGTCTCCTCACTTTCACATAACTCAAACCCTCTCTCACACATGCACCATGTGCTTGTGAGTTGGTGTGCAGACAGCTGCTGTATTTTCAACAGTTTTGATCTGTTATTCCTTAAACCGTGGAAGTGGGAACACTGCAACATCTTTAGCTAGACACAGAAACTTTTAACATTAGATATCCCAGTATATTGTGATGATAATGCAAATCTTTAGATCCACATAAAAAAATCCCAGCAGATTAAATTCTTTTTCTGGCAATTGGCAAATCCATAAAAAGATGGCTAGGCTGGTCAAATACTGGCCAGGTGGTAACCCTAGCTGAACTAGATCATTCAGAAAATGATCCATGTGTTTGTGAGTCTAGAGCAAAGCTTTACAGACTTGACCCATATGTAATGAAATAATTGGATGTTACAAAAGAAAAACTTATGAATGGCTTAAAAACTGAAGACAGGGGCCATTGGAAACCTGTTTGATTGATTTGTTTTTTAAGAACTTCAGGATTTTGTATTTATTCACAAAAATGAAAACAACAATATGATGTTTACTAAATTATTGGCATCTTTATTCATTAGTTTAAAATACAACTGACTTCACCCAGTCTTGACATTTTATTTTTAAGGAAAAAATACCTTCCTGAAATCTACCAGTCTCCCTGGTGAAATCTTCCCTCTGAGAGCTTACAATCTCTCTAAATCTTGATTTTGAGGGTTTTGTAGAGGACACTTTAACTAGGGAAGGAGGAAAGGCTGGCTGATTTAACAGATCACTTCTAATTTCTAAGTTCTGTAATATCTATTATATATAAAAATATGATTTTATTTCACTCTTTTCCTTCCTCTCTCCAGAATCCTAGCGGAGAAGCTAAAACACATGATTGGGAATTCAGTTTTTATATCTTTAAATCTTGCAACCTACTTCTTGTATAATACAATTTCAAATGAATCCAGACATGTTGGATACTTCTACTGAATGATCAGCATTTAAATTAGCACTTTTTCGCTTGTTATTGTTAAACTTTACAGCCATCTCTCTAGTGAGATGAATGGAGTAATTCACACCTCTGTTATAGTTAATGTCCCAGTGGGTCTCCAGACTAGAGGAGCCATCGCTGCCCCGGTTCACAGTTGGGACGATCTCTTCCCAAACAGAAAGCACACCAGAGTCCATCGCGGTTAAAAGCAGACGTGTCGCTCCTCTCGCTTCTGTAGCCCGTAGAGAGCCGCTCCCGCTCCCGTGCTCTGCGGCTGGCCGGAGAGCTGCGGCGCTCCCAGCCCAGCCAGGAGGGAGCAGCGGCCGGACTAGGCAGAGAACGCGGCTGTACAACAGCACCACCTCGGGGCTAATGCCGCCCAGTGCAGCGGGCCGCCGGCCACAGGAGAGCCGCCCCGCCTGTCCCCGCGCCCACGAGAGGCGGCAGGAGTGCAGGTACCTCCCAGGGAAGCGGAGCGAGCAGTGGGGCGAGAGGCCGGCTGGCCACCCGCCTCCCTTCGGC